GCCTGTAACTCGTAATGGTGGATCTCTGCGTTTCGTTCTAGCTACGTGTAGATCATATTATGAGAAAAGACTTTGCTTTCGCAATGGATATCTTTCTACGTGCATAGTGATCACAGGATCTCAGGAATGGATGACAGGATCACCCCGCTGGTTATTAACGACGTCACAAACATCTATGCACTGTGTGCGTGCGGTTTTCCCCACGTCTCTTGATCGAATAGAAAGAGAAATGTTTCCATCTCAGGTGCCCTACGTGGTAGGCTATCTGAAGGGTTTTGTGTCAATTGTGATGTGATATGTGTAGTGTAAAACGGTAAAGAGGTAGGAAAAGGCCCAAAATCTGAGGATGAATCGCTCGGAGTCCCTGGCCTGTTTCGAATTCCATTTCAATCGTGGCACAAGGGGACAATTTTGTAACGATAGCGATTTCAACTAACAAGAATGAAGGTCAGTACGGTCACCAAGACACTAGACATAAAACAAACTAGAACGACGAAGTCTCCAATTAACGATTGACGTAGCAGCGGTGTCCCGTGTGACAACGGGAAGTAGGACGCCGGAAAGCAAAAGAGACCTAAGAACAAAGGCCAGTGACAACGCTTAGTAGACGCTGAATTCAAAAGAACGACGAAAACTACTTCGTGAGCTAGGCGAATTCAGATACTACAATGCTGTGACAGTAGTGACGAGACGATAATGGGAATTCGATCGCCGGAAAGCGAAAAGGGAACGATGGGTAACAATAGCGACTTAATTGTAGAAGAGATGCTAGTGACTTAACGTTTGTCAGAACTTAGAACGACGAAGACTACGGCCGGTGCTAGACGAATCCAAAAACTTCTACAGCGTGACAAGACGACATTGGGCGGTCGGTCTCCGGGTCCGCGCAGCGCGCACAGCAGCGCCGCCGTCGGCGCGTCGCTGTGCAGTGGCCGAGGCGCAGGGAAAGCGGCGCCGGGGCAATGGCGCAGGGGGACGGCCGGGGGCGGCGCAGTTAAAATTGTCAAGGTTACGCGCCTCCCGCGGGCCCCCGGCAGGTCGTATCGCGGGACGCCATCGCCCTGCACCCCCCCTCCCCTCTCCTCGGCCTCGCCCCGCCCCCGCCACGCCCCTCCTTCTCCGGCAGGCGCAGAGCATTCCATTATCCTGCCTGGAGTTTTTACTGCCCTTCTTCTGCCAGAGCGGGCGCGCACCGGGGACTGCGACGCTTTGCGTCTCCCGATCACCCCTCTCACCCCCTCTCACCGCACCAGCCCCACCCCTCCCCGCCACGTGCGCCACCAACCGCCCTGCTCCGCCACGGCCACCCTTTGGGTTCGGCGCGCCTCCTAATCACCTCATTTACTTTTCTATTCTTTGAGTTACTCCCGCTTTTATTTCCTCTCCCCCCCACTCCCCACCTCCCACCCTAGTATATTTATCGACACAACGCACCCTCTCCGTTTTTAAACAGGCAATTTTCCTTAACGGCGACCAGCAGCCAAGTTTCATAGCACGCGCATCTCCCCCCACCCTCCACTCCCACCCTTCCCCGTCTTTTCTCGGCAGCGACACTCGTGACGGCGTCGCTTCTGTATCGCCCCAGATACAGATGGGCACTTTAGGAATATACTCGTATATATTACGGCGGTGACACGGCGTGCATAAGATGCGTGTAAGCCCAAAGCGGCAGACAAGATATTAAGTTCATTTTCGGCGTAACACAAAGTAAATAGCTATCAGAATTATTACCCCCGTAAAACCCCTACTCCTTCTTTTCTCACTTCACAGGTAAGTTCTTTTTACGGTATCACAAAACAGGTTGCCGAAAATACGAAGCGCGCTGGGGAAGTTCCCGGGGAGGCAGGAGAAGTGGCGACGCGTATTAAAAAGTCGGGCATGCGCGTGCGTTTATACGTGATCCAATCCACAAACTTATTACGTAATAGCAGGAAGTTTGCGAAAGATTTATAATAAGCGTGTTGGAAATGCGGAGGCGCGGATGATGCTTTGAAAATGCAAAGTAGATATTTCGTTGGCGCTGAGAGGGCGCCAGCGGTGTGAAGGCGCCCGAGCGATGCGGCCGTCGGGATTAACGTCTGCGGAGATTCTTCCTCTCCCCACGCCCCCAACTTCCACTTCTTTCTTCCTCTTCCTTCATCCTCTAACGCTCCCTCATCCTCTTCTTTCTTCTACAATCACCTCCAACTTTCTCTTCATCTACCGATTCTCATCCCAAACCTCGCCTCTTCATCTCATCTACAGCACTTGTCATTTACCTCTCGTTTTACCTCTCTTGTTTTAATCCTATCCACTCTTCTACCCCTTTACTCTGCGCCTCTCTCTCTCTCTCGCTCGCTCGCTCGCTCTCTCTCTTTCTCCACCCTTTCTGGTATTCTTCCGAATGGTCTCTCACCTCCCTCTCACGTCCGTGGGTCGTGTGCTCTAAAGTGCAACGCGGCAAAAATGATGTATTAATTCGTTTACACAGATGAAATATTTTTGGGGTAGTTGTCAAACAAGATAACAGAACTAGTTCTGTAACACTTTCTACACGATTTAACATTTTACATTAAATAAGAGTAAGGCAAATGTATTGTCGCAACATTAATTCTTTTTCCAAAATAGTAATTGCATGTAGTAAAAATGAGAGCACCTATCAACGTTTTTCTTTATGTCCAAAAGAATTTATTACGGTAGCGACGGATGTTCAAGACTGATCTCTATCGAACATGTTTCCTTCTTCCAGATGTCTCCGCATTTGTCCGTATTTGGTTGACAACTTTTCGCCTAATTTCACCTCCTAATTAACTGTTGACCAATCATTCTCTTGTCATCCTCATATCGTAAAATCTCTTAGCAATTAGGATTCCAGGCCAATTTCCTAAAACCTGAAAACATGGTTTTAAGCGTATTCTTAGTTTTTAAAGAAATTTCTTAGAATTAGTTCCAGTCCCAGTAAAAACAAATTTTATTCAACCAATGTTTCTTGAACAGGTAACTGATGGGTTTGGAACAGTCATAACTTGTTTTTCTTAATATGCGAAACGTTATAAAGTTGGAGGTGTGAGGCGAGAGAGGAAAAGACGATGTATATACCTGGTCAAGCAAGCGTTCACCTTGGTTACAGAAAAGGCGGGACAGAGAATGCGAAAGAAAAAGAACACAGACTGAGATAAGAGGGAGTGGAGTGGGAGAACTAGGCGTAGTACCAAGATGATCCACACGGGGTGCTCTGGTCGCTCGCGTGTGGCGCGACACAAATTATTCAATCACTTTAACACCCAAGTTATTTTTTTCCTACGACGCTGATACTTTATGTACTTTGTGTTTTATATAGTTCCCGGAGGCCGCTTATAAAAAAAGATACACACGTGGTACCGGTCGTGCATCTAATTACGAAAAAATACTTATTAATAACTTAGTCGACCCAAGAGCTATTAGGGGCTTTAAGGCGTGATATATTCCTGGCAACATGCTCTCCATCTTTGGTCTGTGCAGGAGAGTTTGGGTCCAGCTAGTCCGTGAGGTTATGCTGGAGCATTATTTGCATCTATGGGTATTTGACTTCAACAAGCTTTACGTAAATGAACTACACATGACAGTTGATTTACTGTGAAGGAAGCAAATCCATTAACAAACTCCAAATAGAAATACGAGGGGAAAAGAATGCAGAATTATGTAAGCTTGCAATAAACGACTTGAAACTTTAGCTTTCGGTCAACGAACCCTTCTGAAGTTCGTAGAAACGGTTTTTTATTTTATACGTCTCCCCTTAACACTGCTTTTGAATCGGTTATACATATTGGTTTATTTGCTGGTTTTTGTTCGCAATCCACGTATTTGAATAAAAAATGTGTATTATTCTTAACATAACTATAATTTTTATTATCTAACTAACTATTTTAGTTTCAATTTTAGAAATAAATTTTAACAAAGAAACTAAGAAATGATTTCAGTGGAAATCGACATCTTTAACCTCTTTCTAATGAGTGAAATGTTTCATATGTGGCAGTACATACAGTCAAATGATCATCTTGAACAGTGAGTGTGGAATTTTCATCAACAACAAAAAAACGTGCGTTGTAGAAAAGAATTCAGAAAATGTTGACGAATTTTGGCTAACTTCTTCACGTTTCCGTAATTTGGGTAAAAAATCGAATAAGTGCGCAGCTCAATTCTGCTTTAATGGGAGGAAAGGAGAATGATGGGTTTTTCGTAATTTTACTCGTATATCAACAGATATATTTCTATTGTTTTAAAAGCCATCATTTGCAAAATTTAATCTAGAGCATGTAACGTATAAAAGTTAAGAAAAAAATCAAAAATCTCTGATAAATGCAGTTATTTAAATATTATTTTTGCATTTTTAGGAAAAAAATTAAGCAGAACGAAGTAGTGTTTCAGTTTTTTGTGAACTGTTACGGTTACAAAAAAAATAGTTTTGTTTCATAATCAACTAATTATTCACTCTCTGGATTTTTTTAAATTTCGTGCTCAATTAAAATTTTCAACAATGACGTACATTTCAGTTTTCAATAAATGGAGTTAATATTTGTTTTAGTATGGAGGAAATGCTAGGAAATAACATTATCTGTCCTTGTATTTGTATTTTGTACTTGAACATAGCCGTTATAGCCCGTAAAGGGCAATTGATCTCGGTGCCGTTAGATCCTGGGGTTCCTAGTCGGTCACTCAACGAAGAACCGGCGATGCCTCGAATTCGCTTAGCCTTCGTGTCTTCACAAAGTTAGCGAATTCTGCTAGCGACGCCTATTTCGCGGTCTTGGCCTTTCCGTAGAGCAATCCCAGCATTCGCCTGGATGACCGAGGAACACCACAAAACCCTGGTCAGGATGGCCGGCACGGGGATTGAACCCGGGCCTCCCGAATGCGCAGTCAGCGCGCTGCGCCCTGAGCATCTTCGCTCGGTATCCTCTGTCCTTAATGCACCGTAAATCACAAAGGCGGCAACGAGTCTCGGGCGCCGCAGCACTTACCCTTTTGGTGTTTGTCCGCAGGAAAACCTGCGCAAGCACGTGCTGACGACGTCGAAGCACCCGGGCAAGAAGATGTACGAGTGCAAGTTCTGCGAGGGCGAGGGTCAGTTCGCCACCAACCAGGCCAAGGAGCTGCGCGCGCACCTGGTGACGCGCCACCCAGAGCAGTTCGCGCAGCCCACGCTCGCCGCCTCGTACGTGGCGGGCATCTACGACGCGCACGCCGACCCCAAGGACGTCGCCCACCCCATACAGCTGCCTCCGCGGTGGAAGAGGTACCACATCACTCACTCTCTCTCTACCCCCCTCTCTCTCTCTACCTCTCTCTCTCTACTCTCTCTCTACCCTCTCTCTCTACACCTCTCTCTCTACAACCTCTCTCTCTCCACCTCTCTCTCTACACCTCTCTCTCTACTACCTCTCTCTATCACCTCTCTCATCTACTCTCTTCTCAGCCTCTCTTCTACCCTCCTGACCTCTCTCTCTCTACCTCATCTGCTCTCTGCATCTCTCGTTTCTCTAACCTCACTCTCCCTCTCGAACTTCCCTCATCCTCTCACAACCTCCTGGTCTCAACCTCTCCCTCTCTCAACCTCACTCTCCATCTCTCCCTCTATTTCTCTCAATCTATCTGTCCCCTAAAGGTCCCTCTCCGTCACTCAATCTTTCTCTCAAAATCTCTCTGAACCTCCTTCTCTCCACCTCTCTTGCCCTTCCTCTCTCCACTTCCTTCAACTTCTCTCTCCATTTCAGACTCTCCACCTCCCTCTCACCACCTCTCAACATTCTTCTCTTCACCTTGCATCTCCCTCCCCCCACTTCTCTCAACCTCCCTCTCACCACCTATCAACATTCTTCTCTTCACCTTTCTTCTCCCTCCCCCCACTTCTCTCAACCTCTCTCCCCTTCTCTTAACCTCAATTCTCCTCTCAGAGTCCCCCTCTCTCTTAACCTCCTTCTCTTCTCTCTCAACCTCCTCCACCTTCTCTACCTCTTCCCCACCTCTCACAATCTCCCTTTCCCCGCCTCTCAACCTTCATTTCTCCTTTGCTCTTCCTGCTTCACTCTTCATCAATCTTTTTTCACCTTTCTTCTTTCAATTCCGTAAACCACTTTCATATGATAATAATATTAAAAATTTTATTTAATTGTAACAATTACTCTTAGCAGTAATATTACTGATATTTCCATGAATAATTATAATTGATAGTAAATACAATAATTACTTACGGAAATGAATAACAGAGATTTACAGTGATATACTGTAACCAATATCACAAAGCAAGAACTTAAACGAAATGCTCTACTGTCTTGAGTAAATGCATATGTATTTCTTACCACTCCCTTCCAGCAAATTTCAATCAACTTATTGAAAATTTCACCATTTTCTTCTCCCAAATATCTCATGCACGTTTTTGAAAGTTCGAGTTTTGTTTTCTTTTTCGGAACGCAAATAAGTTGATACTCCATACATGTTCTTCATCTCCTAAGATAATATCTTGCTCTTAGTCACTTCCTTTGCATGAAAATTTTTGGAATGAGGACCAATGAAAATGTAATGAAATGAAGGTCTGAATAGCACAATTATCGTGTGAATGGGTGTGCAAAATATGACATTAATATACCATTAACTTGTTTTTTTCTCGTAAATTGGAATATTTTTTCTGGAGTAGTAATGTTCTCATAAGGAATATTTAATATTTATCTAAAAATAGTTCATGTTAATCTCTGCATTCATGGAGAAGCAATGCATGCCGTACACATATCATCAATTTCTTATATTCGACAGTGAATGTTGAATCAATCCAAAATATGTTATACGCTCCGAATCTTGACAAATTTAAGTTCTATTTGTATACTTGAAGCGGTTGTATTTACTGAAGTTTGTAGACAAACGGAGTTAATATCTCTTTAGAGCTTCGAAACACTGAAGCACAATAAATAGAACATCAGGTTTGCGATCACTAACTGGCAATTAAGTTTGGATCTGGCACAAAAAACGAGAAGTAAAAAGTTGGGTAGAAAGATGGAGGATACCTAGAAACACTCTGGATTGTAGAACTAAAACGAAGTATGAGAAGAAATATTTGTAATAATAACTTTCATTTATATTTTAAACTCGTATAAATAAATATTTAATAAGTGCAAATTATATTACTGTGGGTGTTAATTAAATTTTCTATTTGGGGTGCCATATTAACAGACTATTCACGAACATCTACATTTGTTTAGTTGTTCAAGAATACATGTCATATAAAAACTTCAACATGTATGAAAGTTATTCCAACTAAAGAACGTCTTCCAAATACATTTTCTGATGCTTTTCTCTTAATTGGAACAGCAAAATAATAAATATCCGGTAGAGAACGTCGATATCGACTCATTCGAAGCAGAAGCGCACTAGTTCTGCTTCCAAATTTGTTAAGTAGGAGATACATGGATCTCCACTTTTCCGATGCCCGAGCAACGACTGGCAAGGACATTAAGTGAGCTTCCATTGCATCAAAGTTTGCGTAATTGCAACGGCAGTTGGTACTTCGCGAAGTGCGAGCAGCAACAGCGCAACGTCAGTCCCGAGGGGAGTGAGGGACGCGGCGGGGAAGAGGCGGGAGGGGGGTATTTATTTCGTAACGAGTCGTTGGACCCTCTACAACACACTCCCCTATACAGTCGCACCATTCGAAAAGTTTAATTCGACGGAGTTGCTACCGCACATCTGTTCGGTTCGCCCGCCCGCGGATTCGAGTCAGCAACTTCGCGTCACAAATATCCCCAAGACACCTTGGCTGCGAAACACGATTTGTCTCGGGGCCGGATCGCTTCGCCCAGATAGACCGAACGCCCGCCCGCCGCCCGCCCGCCCGACGGCTCGCCTGGCAGCAGACGGCTGCGACGACGACGACGACGAGGACAGTGGACCACGGCGAGGAGGGCGGGGGGAGGGAGAGAGATTGGCGCAGGGGGCTACGCTTCGCAGGACCGCCAACTTTCCGCCACAAATATCCCCGAACTGCCTCCGCCGCGGAACAAATTTTGTCCGAGACTGTTCGTATTTCCGGACAGCGGCTGTCGAAGCGGAGGGCCAGCTGGAGGGGAGAGGAGGGGAGGGGCGGGGAGAGGGGATGAGAAGAGGACAGGGAGGGCGGGGAGGACGTATGGGGCTTCCCAGCGCCCGCGGCTGCATTATTCAGAGCCCGAGAGGGCGGCGAGGGCGCGGGCGCGGCGAGACGGGGCGGGAGGGGGGAGTCACTGGAAGGGAAGGTGCGGAGACAATGGGTGACCGGTCACAGAAAGAACAATAGTGTTGAACCCATAATGAAGAGTATTTGATTGGCATTTCATGTAGCTTGTTATACTTTGGGTGACTATTGTAGGTAGTGCTTTGTTTATAAAATTTTAGGTATCGAAACGCGCCCCAAATTAATTATTAATTATACTAGAAATAAGTTATATATTTATAATACAATTTAACAATACATTATTGAGGTAGCGGGAGGCCGTTCCGCCGCGTCAGCCAGAAATCAACACCTGATTGTAGGCAAATAAGGTCCTTCGAATTGTTACATTGATACACTGTGCTTCTTTATTCCGTGCACATTACATATAACTCATTACCTTATCATTAATCGCAATATCTTTCAAATCCAAAATCAATAACACTGTATCTTCAATGTGCATTAGTACCGAAATTCAATTGCTCTAGCGAAATGATTAATGAAATGGAGGAATGAGAGGTGTGGAAACAGTAGAAACCCCGAGAAGACACGCCTTGTCCTCCACAACCTCTACTGGGATCGATCGGGAATTGAAGACGGTCCCAACGGCGGAAGGGGGCCGCCATACTCTTAATACAATACTTTCAGATTTCATGTCATAAATTTGCCTTCACTGCTGTTAAAAATATACATCAAACTTTGTTATTTGTTTAGATTCAGAGGAATTCACATTGAGGGGCACTCTTTTACATTTATCTCCTTGTTTGGCTCTCTGTGTCCGTTTTTCTTCTTTCTTTATGTTCTTTCTGAGAACCAAAATTTGCTCTTTGCTTCCTGCGTATAAATGATCGATACACTCGTAAATTTAGTGCCATTACTCAAACTAAGTCAAGTTTTCATTTAGATTGCCACATTTACTTGGTAACAAACGTACACTCGTGATTTAGTCTCCCGGTTGCAACTATAATTAATAGCAGTTGCGCAATTATATGAAAATATTGGAAAGTGTAACAAAATGATATGAAAATAAATATTCTTAAAATAAATTGTTGGCAAATACAGTAACAGTGAAAGAACAAAACACAACAATCTAATTTTACATGTATACAATTCAGTTTAGAATGTTCCCTTTTCTTTCTGTTTTAATTGTCTTGAACTGACAATGAGAAGTTCAGCAAACTTGTGTATGATGTGTAATCGTGTGACCGCTATATTGAATTTTAAGAATTATTCCAATATCTTGTATTAAGACTATAAAGTGAGTAATTGATTTTAAAGTAATATCTCTTATGCCAATTTCCTGCAGAAATGTGCTACAGCGATTCTTCTCCCTTCCCACCTTCTACGTCCACTGATTAAACTGCGAAACCGAAATGCGCACGGCGAAAACTATCGAATTGCTGTCAGGTGTTGTGATATTAGCACCATCTTTTATAGCGACCCGGTTTCTTTTTAATTTTGTATTGCTTATGAAGGCAATCAATCCAAAATATTTTTGGTAGCACTTCTGTAAATTATAAGTAATAATTTGCAAAACAGCAGTTTTTATTTTTCTTCAGATGTTCATACTTGACCATACAATCTCGGGGATGCAGAAAATTATGGTACAAATGCCCATCACGTAACCAATCCACCCGTATCTTACATTGTGAGTACCGGCTGCCGCAGGGTCAAGAGAGAGCCACAAGGCGCCACCGCCTTCTTAGCGCCATCAGGCAACTCCTCGGAGCCATCCACCAGCGCTTCCGTCCCCGTCACTGCCGCCCCCGCTCCGCCCGTGCCCGGGCCTTCGACCACGCACGTCGCCGCCCCCGAGGTGTCCTCGCTGCTGGCGCCCAAGGGCGAGGACGGGGGTGAGGACGCAGCCGCCTACCTCGAGCTGCCCAGGGCGGAGAACTCGCCCGAGCAAGAGCTGCTGTCCATGGTCATGATGGCCGACGCGCCCGTCAACGACGTCATATACATACAGGTGAGGATAATGTCAAAAATAGATAAACCGCGCAGAAAAAAAAGGTATTTCTCGCCCATGTTTTCTTGATACAGGAGTTCCCTGGTCCTTGCCCTGCGCTGAAGTCCTGGCCTGTTGAGATACTTAGGTCCAACTCGAAACGGCACCTATCAATGTACAATGCTGCCAACATTCTCCTCCTACCTTCAAAATAATCGTAATATTTCTCAGGTCAAGCTTTGGTGTGAAAAGTTCATACCAACAGTTGGTACACTCTTCGACGTTGTGTTGCAGCCAGAGCTCTCCCCCCCCCCC